AACTGGAGAATTTGACCAGATTTAAGGGATAATTTAACTCCTTAAATAAAATTCTACTGGAAAATTCAAAGCACAGTCCAATGTGTTGTCAAAAAAGAGATAGCTTCCCTTTTCTCAAAATAATCTGTTAGCTTGCTGCTACTTTCTCTAAATCTCCATGCTTGCTGCTATCATTTGGCTGTGTCTCCTCCCAAATCTCACCTTGAATTGGAATAATTCCCCCCTTTCATGGGAGGGACCTGGTGGGAGGTAATTGAATCATGGGGTGGGTTTTTTCCCCATGCTGTTCTTATGACAGTGAATATGTCTCACGAGATTGGATGGTTTTACAAAGGGCAGTTCCTCTGAACATGCTGTCTTGCCTGCTGCCATGTAAGATGTGTTTTTGCTCTTCCTTCACCTTCTGCCATGACTGTGAGGCCTCCCCAGCCATGTGGAACTGAGTTAAATAAACCTCTTTCCTTTATAAATTACCCAGTCTTGGCTGTCTTTCTTACCAGCTTGAGAACAGACTAATACACTTGCCTTCTCCTTTAAGACTAGAATTTGTGTGTAATAAATTTTTTTAAAAGGAAACTTTAACTCTTCGTATATAGTAAGACAGTTTTAGGATTTTGCTGAAATCACAGTAAGCATTGCTTTCTTTCTGTATAATCAAAGTGCATTTTGTTTGGAAGAGTAGCTGAAACTTTAGCTGCAACTCAGCTTTAATTAATGTTGCTTTTTGCTAGATATATTTTTCTGTATTTTTTACACCCTTAAAATCAGCACTTGGAGATCAGTAATTTAAAGAATGTTTTCTTTGTGCTTATTTCTTTCAGAATATCTTATTTCCTGTTGTAGAAGGCCATCACTGAATATCAGCAAGCTTCCTCACCCACAACTACTGTTCAATTATACTGTACATGTAAAGCAGGTGAGCAGCTGCACTGGAATGTTTTTCCCCAAAGGGCTTTTTTCTCTTATTATATAATTCTGTTCTTATTCCTTAAAGATTTCTTAAGATTTTTGATTTTTTTTTACTTTTGCAATTAATAATAATTTAAAAAAATATCTATTTTGTGCTACTTACTATATTAAGCAGGAAATATAGATGAGTAAGACAGTCTTTCCCTACAAATAATTTCTAATGTAGTAGGAACTTAAGACAAGTATACACATAAGAAAAACAAAAAGCTAAATATAATTGGTGCCATAGTGGCAATACACACAGAATCTTAAATCTATTGTTGAGAGGAAGAATAGAACTATTAATTTCTGACTATGTAAGTTTGAAGTAATTTCTATATTTTTTATTGGGAAATCAGGTAAGGATATAATTCTCTTTAGTACTTTGGATCATCCATACAAATATATATTGTATTAATATAGCATATATATATATATATATATATAAAATATAACTATATAAATATAAAATATATTTTATTGTGCATATATACACATACACACAATATATGTCATCTGTTGTATAACATACTGTGTGTTTATATGTTTATTTTATATAAAACATGTTATATATATGTTATTATACATATAATAAAATATTATAAAATGGGAGGACATTCTCACATGCTGCAATATGGATGAACCTGAAGACAGTATGTTAAGTGAAATAAGCCGGTCACCAAAAGACAAATATGGCAGGATTCCACTTATACTGAGATACATAAAGTAGTTAAAATCATAGAGACAGAAAGCAGGTTGGTGTTTGCCAGGGAGTACAGGGAGAGAGTGATAGGGAGTTACCATTTACATCTAGGTTTTGCAAGATGGTAAGAATTCTGGAGCTGGATGGTTGAATGTATTTAATACTACTGAACTGTATATTGAAAAACTGGTTAAGACAGTAAATTTTATGTTATATATATTTTACCAGGATAAAGAAATGGGAAAGAATAAAAGAGCACATATATTGTATTATATTCTGCAGTGGGGAAAACTGATTAACTGAAAATATAATGAAACAATAGCAGTGACTGCTAGGTCTTATGTTATCTGCAGAAAGTACTAGGGTAGTGTGAATGCAGAGATGAGGGTGTGGATAGTATTGTCCACTGTGAGTAAAGGTGAGAGGGGTAGGAAAAGGGGCAGAGATGTCTTTTAAAGCTTTGTAAAATAATCAACATTTGAGATAGCCTTGAAAAGTAAATAGACTTTTTAAAGATAACAGAGAAAGTATTTCAGGCACAGAAATAATGGTAGTAAAAGGATGGAATTTAGGTAAACAGGAAATTTCTGTTTAGATGAAACATAGAGTGAATGGAAGAAAACGGTAAGAGATGATGTCAGTGAAACAGATATCTGGAGGTTGCACTGTCCACTATGTTAGAGAGTTTGGATTTCATTATAAATCAATGGTCTTAACCAGAAATGGACTTCAGAATCACTTGTGGAGCTTTGAAAAATTCATATGCCCTTATATCTCATGGGGGATTTGATTTAGTAGATTCAGAGTAGAGCCTGGGCTTGTACATGTTGTCAAAACTCTGCAGGTGATTACTATGTGCTCCCAGAATCACTACTGTACATAATAAGGCATTACTGGGAGTTTTATTTTTAAGGCCTGAGATGTGCTAACATTCACTTATACAGCCCTGATGGCAATACGATGGATGACCTGGAGAGCGCGGAATCTGAAGATAAGGAGACAAGATAAAAGACTACTAAATGAATGGTTTGTATTAAGACATTGGCAATAGGAAGAAAAAGGAGCAATAGATTGAAGAAGCATTTAGAAAGTCAAAATGATTGTATTTGGTGGTCAATGAGACTCTGTTTGTAGAAGAGGAATAAATAAAATACTGTGCTCATATTTCTGCATCAGATAACTGGGTGATGATGGATCTATTAACTGAGATAGTAAATGCTGGCATAGGTACTAAACGCTATGTCTGACAGACTGGTTGTTAAAAGAGTAGGTACTCATAAGTGCTTGTTGAATGAATAAAAAACCCTAATAAATCAACTGGTCATATAATTTTGGATAAAAAAAAAAGAATATATAAGGGTTTGCTCCTAGAAGGAACTTTTATTGGTTTTTGACAAATCTAGATGCCTTGGGGCAGGTGGAGTAGCAGACTGAGGCAAGAGACATGCAAAGCAGAGAAAAAAAAAAATAGAAGAAGCACAAATGTTGGAAAATTTAAGCTGGGCTCCAGGAACAATGAATGGTTTAGTTTGCTTCTAGAATAGTAAGAGAGAAAACCATGAAGATATAGTGACACTATTATGTGGTATGTCTGAAAGTCAGGCTGAGGAAGTTTTAATTAATTCAGCAGGCATTGATGAGTCAGGACTTTTGGACAGAAGTCTTCCATGTTTTTAAGATCTCGTCTTGCTGGAAAACTTACAATAGCCCTTCTGGCCTGGTAGTGCTGGAAGTCAGTATTTTCAGATAGGAAGTAGTCAAGCTTAAAATTACCATATTACATAGCAATTTGTGTGTCAGACGATGTGTGGCAATTAACTAGATGTCATGATACTCTTAACTGAACCAAGCTTTTTGTCACTAACTTGAATGTTACTTTTATCATAAACTATATCCCCATATAGATTTGTGCCTATCTCTGGATTTTTCTATTTCATTCCATTTTGAACAAAATCTGCTGTATTTATTTGAGATGCCTTGAATTTATAATTTGAGAAAAACTGGCATTTTTACAATATTCAGTTTGCTAAAAAGAATTGTTACTTAAACTTTCTTCTGTATCCCTCAGTGGAAGATAATTATTTTTTCATATACATCTGAAACTTGTCTTTTTTAGTTAATAATCCTGTATTTTTCTTTTGAGTTGCTATCATCAATAGTATTACTTCTTGCACTGTAACTGTGTGTGTGTGTGTGTGTGTGTGTGTGTGTGTGTAAATAAGAAGTCTTCCTAGATGAACAATTAAAATTGAAAGGAAAAAAAACAAAAGCAAATTGAAATATTTTCAATAGCATCTGACCCTCACTGAACTGATATATATGCAAAAATCATTTTGGATAGTATTATTATAGAACACAAAGAATGCTGTTTGTTTTGCCTATGTATTGTCAAAGTTTTCCTTACATAAGATAATCTGTGATTACATGTACAGCTAAAGTGTGGCATTTCGTCAGTCAGTCCTGGTCACCACTAGTGGGAGTTTCATTTCCCTCCTAGTATCACACAAAGCCCCACCTAGATTCTCGCTCTTTCCACAGAAAAACTGCCCTTTTTAGCCCTCTGCTTGAGTGCATGACCATTCTCCTTGGCTTTTCAGTGTCTCCTCTCAAGGTGTTGGTGGGACAGAATGAAGGATATTGTAGCTACCGAAATAAATCCCCACTGTAAACACCCATCAGGGTCAGAAATATTTTCAGATAGTTTGATGCAGCTATAAGTCAGAAAATGTTTTGGTTTTATCTTATCCTTTGACTCAGTTCTTTGAAAATTTTTCAGTTTGAACAACCTGTTTAACAAATCTTCTGGTTAGGGGCCCACAAACTTTTTCATAAACGGCCAAATTGAAAATATTTTAGGCTTTATTGGCTGTATGGTTTCTGTTGCAACTACTTAACTCTGCCGTGGTGGTGTTAAGGCTGTCAAAGACAGTAATGAGGTGGGTATATTCCAACAAAAGTTGATTTACTAAACAAGCCATGGGCCAGATTTGGCCCATGAGTCATAGTTTCTAGATCCCTATTTTAGATCAGTAAACTTTCAACCCATTCATTATTTATATTTAAAAAAATCAAAAGCAATGCACTAGTTTCCATGGAAGAAATGATGACAAAATGCAAAGCACTGAAATGAACAAAATGCAGAAAAATCACCAAAATGATTTCTTATCAATCCCAAAATAATGGTACTGTATATAAATAGCATTTTTTTTTTTAAATGAAGCACAAGCAGGATTGTAGTATAATGTAAACACATATATTACATGCTGGTATGGTCACTGCTTTGGGGAGAAGGACAGAGTTGACTGGAGAATCATCATTATCAGTAACAGGAGTATTTGCTCTAACTTACCAATCTTGTACTGCATTGAAGGATTCTTCATTTGTAATGTCATACATTAAAATAAAGCCCATGGCTCCACGATAATAGGCTGTGGTGATAGTCCGGTATCTTTCCTGGCCTGCTGTGTCCTAAAGAATAAAAAAAAAAACTCTCAGAAATAAGGCAATACATTTTTCAGAAGTGATTAATAATTCCAAAAAAGTCACAATAGAGTCCAAAATGTACTTGCTGTGTAAAGCTGTTTATCTTGTTCCATCTTGTTTCCGCTAATTTTTAAAAATAACTTTTTTTTACTGATATATAATAGATGTAGATATTTTCAGGGTACATATAATAATTTAATATATTTATATATTTTATAAAGATCTAATCAGTGTAATCAGGAAATATGTAATTTTAAATATTTGTCTTTTCTTTATGCAGAAACATTCAAATTATTCTCTCCTATCCACTTTAAAATATGCAATCGATTACTATAAATTATAGTCACCCTAAAGATTTATCAAACACTATGTCTTATTTCTTCTACCAAACTCTATGTTTGTACTTCAAAAGACGAAATCTAAAAATTATTAGTGTTCAAAAGAGTTGATCAGAAACAAGTGATAGAAAGCTTATTAAAAGAAATAATAAGAGAAAACTTTCCAAATCTTGAAAAATAGATAAATATCCAGGTGTAGCAAGGTCAGGGAATATCAAACAGATTTGACCCAAATAAGACTACCCCAAGGCATATAATAGTCAAACTCTCAAAGGTCAAGGACAAATGGAGAATCCTAAAGGCAGCAAGTACAAAGAAGCAAATAACATATAAAGGAACTCCAATTTGTCTGACAACTTCTCATTGAAAACCATAAAGGCCAGAAGAGAGTGGAACTGTTATTTTCCAAGTGCTGAAAGAGAAACTTGTCATCCAAGAATACTGTATCCAGCAAAAATATCCTTTATCTATGAAAGAGATGAAGTCTTTCCCAGACAAACAAAAGCTGAAGGAATTCAACACCACCAGACCCATCTACAATTGTTAAAGGGAGTTCTTCAATCTGCAAAAAAACCTCTTAATATGCAAATAGAAGACACTTGAAATATAAACCCACTAGAAAAATTAAGTGCATAGACAAACCGACAATACTCTATAATTGTGGTGGCAATCTCCTCATAATTCTAGTATAAAGACCAAAAGACAAATCTATCTAAACAACAATAGTTACAGCAACCTGTTAAGAGAAAGGTAATATATATGTAAATTGTAATAACATAGAATCAAAATGTGGGAGGATGATTTTAAAATGCAGATGGTTTTTTTTTCCATTTTTTTGTTTCTGTTCTTTTCTTTGTGATCTAGGATAAGTTGCTACCTCTTTTAAACCACTTATTATGTCCTAATGATATTTATATAGCAGCTCTGCAATATTCTGGAAAAAAATTTTTTTGGTAAAGAACCAGCTCAAAGTACCTTCTATATTTGTTTACTTTCATTATCAGCATCTAACTGCAGAAAATAAAATAAAAAGAAAGATCAGACATATTTAAAATCTGAGCTTATACTATAGTTTAAGATCAGAGGAGTATATTAGCTCCACCATATGCATTTATCTACTAAGTACAAGCCAGTGTGGGGAGAAAAAGGAAGTTTATTAAAATGTGCCTGCTTTTAAGAAGCTTGTAATTCAATCTCAGTTTATTCAACTGTAAGATGAGAATATAAATACTTGCTTTGTATGAGTGTTTCAGTCAGATAGATCTGGATTTGAGGTCCTTCTCTCCCATTAGATAGCTGAGGAATGTGGACAAGTTACTGAACCTCTGTAAACCAAATCCCTCTAACATTTAGCATGCTTGTTAGGGTTCTATGAAGTAATTCATGTAAAGTTCTTCCCATAGAGAGCATCACACAAAAATTGGTCAATAAATGGCAAGTACTAGCTTTTATTCCTGAAATGTGGGACAGCAAGGCTAACAGAAGATAAAGATAGCAGCTTACAAGTACAGAAGTTTGACACTTGCAAAAGGGATAGCATATAACAGTTTAATTGTTCCTTACTTCAAATTCCCTCCTCAGGACCTGGGACATCACTTACAAACACTTTTCAGTTTCTCTCTTTGCCCCTTTCCCTGGAGACTGGCATCTGGCTTATCTTTCCTAGTACTCTTTAGATGCTTACCAGTTTGGACAGAAATATTATCTTCTTTCTGACTTCAGTCTGGACTCTCGTATCCCAGAGACGCCTCCTTTGGGTGCAGAGTGCATCCTAGCTACCCCTAAGGTTTAACAGGCCTTGGAGGGAAAACTAATATGTTGCACACAAGAACAGCTCCCTTTACCATCAAAACAAAACTAACATCTCATAAGGTCACTACTGGGAAGGGCTCATGTTGAATTTGCTGTTCTTTACTTATAGGTATGTACCTGCTTAGATGCTTACACTCCACCATGAACAGCAGTGTGAAACTAAAGATTGCCTATTACTCTCTCCCAGTTTGTGTGGTATATCCTATTTGGGTCCTGAAAGTCTACAGAAGAGTGATCAAAGGAGGCTGGGAGTCAGTGAATGCTTCTGGAAGACTGCAGGGTATAAAATGGAACTGAAAATTGGCTAAGGGTGTGAATTTTTATGAAGCCAACAATTATATTCTACCCTTGGAGCAGGGATAAGTTTGGCCTGATTAGAAGATATTTATTTGGTAATTTTACAGAAAATAAAGTTTCAAAAGTAGGATGAAAACAGATTCTAGTACTCAAAATATCAGAAATAATGTAAAACAGGTGAGGAAGATCTTTCAGAATATAGTACCAATGGCAGAAAACAAAAAATAAAGATTATCACCACATGAAAATCTGTCAATTCCTTGAATATAAAAACAGTAAAATTAAAATGTTAGAACATCCAATGTTAAACTAATAAAGTATATTTGCATTAGACTAAAGAGACCAAAGGTTAATATATTTAATATGTAATATGGTGTTAAGAAATCACTAAAAAAAGTTAATTATTCTAATAGTAAAAATTACTTATAAATAGGCAAATAAATGGCTAACTAATTTATAAAAGAGTTGAATCCAAGCCATAATAATAGATATGCAATGCTGTGTAATTGCATGACTATATCATAGAAATTACTTGGCCATTATTTGAACATTTTATTGTACTTTGCTTACTATTTTATAAATATTAAAAATAAAAATGTAGATGCTAGAGATAAAGATATCATAAACTGTATCACAGGGACAAAGATACAAATTATGCAGAAAGAAGCAAATCTTTAACTTATTTGGATATTCTTATATATTTATTGGATTTAATTCAGTTAGCAGTATATCCAACTGTGAAACAAAGAAGAAGGTTAGACCAACATGGATAAAATGCCAGAACCAAACTTCCAAAGACCATTTATAATGCAAAGTATAAGCGAGGCTTTTGTGATATGTGTAAGCTTTCCAGGGAGCAGAAACCCTTACAACTATTCAGTCTATTTAAAAATTTTCCCACATTTGGCTTGGGTTCATATTTTCCAGAATATATTATCTATAAATGTAATTTACCTTTTTTGTTTGTGCCTATTTTAAAATAAATTTAAATGGCTTTCTTTTTCTCTTGGTCACACTTTTTTTTTTCCTGCATTGATTACATAGTGTTTTTACAGGTTGGGACCCCAAGCCAAGCCTGCTGCCTTCTCCACACTACAATAGACAGCTTCCCCCTAATTTCTCAATAGGAGAAAACAACCAATTTACCCAGATACTGCTAAAAGGTGACCCAGACCTTTTCTGTCAAGCATGTTTTCAGCACAGACACTGAATAATGTTGTGTTGAAAAACTGACTTTATCTCTCTCTTTCTTTTTGACCTCTTTCAGTGACGGTGTCCCCTTTTCATAACATGTTAATTTCATTTTGACAGTAAAGAAACTTGTTCTAGTGTTATAAAATACATCAATTTCATATTGTGGGCATATTTAATCTTTGAGAGAGAAGAAATCAAGTCGGCCATTATATTCTGATTGAAATGTTACAGGAAACTGTTAGAAACCACAGGGTTGAAATAGCCATTATGTATCAAAATCAAAAAAGAGAGAGGGGAAAACCAGCTTTCAAGAAACAAAAAAAAAAAAAATAGAAGCTTTCAGATAGTACTTAAGTCATCGCAAGGGGCAAGATCTTCAACATCATTCTCATTTGAACCCAGAAACACAATCTAATTGGTAATATTTGTCACTTAAAAGCTCTCAGGGAGAATAAGAAATTGCACTAAGTAGGGAAAGTATAGTAATAAATGAGAAAATTTCTTCTCCATATATAAAGAATAAAATTAAGCTAATACACAGACATCACGTTGACTTTGTTTTGGCTTTGAAAACAGTTTCAGGATTATAAACTCATTAGCATTTTCTTCCATTATATGAGGGAAAAAAGGAAGTGAGAAAAACACTTCATTACAATTGACATTTATTAATGATGACAGAAGGTTATATTTGAAAGAGAAAAACATTTTATAATGTCAAGTGCCTCTAATGTAATTAAACTTGAACAGTCTCAGGTAACTAACTAAAATGGTATCTCTTCCCAATTTGCCCAGGAAGCTGGCTCAAAATCCTAGCTTTGTGTTGTTCCTCTGCCTATCTGGCTCTAATAACTGGGTATACTTGCTGATTTTCCATAAATGTAGGCTTCCGATGATTGAAAAACAACTGAAAATCTCAGAGAGAAAATGAGGGATACAAATGTGATTGAAAAATAAAAACTTTCTTCCATGAGTGATAGCTTTCATTTTCTTCTTTTTTAAAAACAAAAATTATTTTAGTTAGCTTAAATATTTTGATTTCCCAATCATGTTTTTAGGATAATTTTGGCATTAATGGCAGGTTTGAGTAACAAATACTTGAATACCTGTCAAGAAAAAAAAACAAACTTTAAAATGAAAAACATTCACAGCTTGATAAGTAGTAGCCTAAAACATCTTTGGTTTGAATTTGGCACACTTATGTTTGTTTCTGCCTTCTAATTTTTTTTTCTGATGAAATCTTTCTTTTCTAAAATAAATAAATAAATGGTGATATTCTCAAAACCTTCTGAGGTCATGCAGAAGTAACACTTAGCTTTCGAATGGAGAAAATAGTCATTTGTAAGG